AGAAAATAAAAAATTTTCACTTGCATGCATACATACATGTATGTGTACATTCTCTCTCTCTCTGTCTCTCTCTCTCTCTCTCTCTCTCTCTCACACACACACACACACACACAGAGTTATTGGTGACATTATCCAAGACATGAATTGTGGTTAGTCAAAGAAGTGTTTCTCCTTCTAAAATATTCCATATCCACAACCTTGCATTTTAATTTTGAAAATATTAATAATTTGGGACATGAACGTTTTTTCCATAAGAGCTACATATGAAGGTTTCAATTCAGTCTGCCACCACGTTATATTTTCTAGATGATTGTATATACTATTAACTATAATAAGTACAGTTGTTATCAAGGTAATTTCAGCAAAATTTGCATTCTGTGAGGTTTTTGTACTTAAGAGAAAAACTTGTAAATGTTATAGACGGATACTCACTCTTATGGAATTCTGAATGCTAATTTGAGAGGCAAGGATACCAACATTATATAGTCCACAACAGCAATAAAATCTTAGAGAGGGATCAGCATTAAAAGTTAGAATAGTTTGGAAATTTTTCTATAATGGAGAATAAAGAAAGAGCAAAAGATGGCAAAGTCTTTTGACTTTTGAGGGAAAAAAATGCCACTTAGACATGATTATTCCTGACCTTCTTTCTCTTACTCCTGAAACATTAATTATGTTTTAAAGTTGGAGTTCATGGCCAAGCTGGACAAAAAAAGAAAAAAAAAAAGTTTACTTCTCTTGAATTTAATTCTCTCTATTTAAAGTTCCACAGCTATGATTCCTTATTATTTCCTTATTATTTCTGCATTCTTACCTTTTTTTCTATATGCTTAAGTGCTGTCTTATTATACAAGGGTACCCAAGATATACAGGGTTATATCAATAGTTTTATAAAGGAAGTCAAAGTGGGGCACCTGGGTGGCTCAGTCAGTTAAACATCTGACTCTGGATTTCAGCTTGGGTCATGATCTCATGGTCCATGAGATCAAGCCCCACATCGGGCTCTGCACTAACAGCATGGACCTGGTTGGAATTCTCTCTCTTCTCTCCCTCTCTCTTTCTGCCCCTCCCCTACTCATGCACACATGCTCTGTCTCTCAAAATAAATAAGCAAACATTTTTTTAAAATAAAGAATAAAGGAAGTCAAAGTGAAAAATGAATCCAATGTAACACATTTTCCTTTAAGAATAATGCCTTTCAGAGTAAAGTTTTATTAAGAATTTTAAACTAGGCATCAACCCAATCATACTTGAAATATTTGTGTCCAGAGAAATAACCATCACTTTAGCAGCCCCTATAATTCTTAGTACACTGACACTGAAGAGTTCCTTAAAGACAAGCATTATATCCCAACACACCTAAAGGTTCTCCGTTTTACCTAAACCTTACAAATGGTAGAAATTATCTGCTTATTAAAGATCACCACTTGCCTTATTAAAAGCTAGTAGCCCCTAAGCTCTTGTATTCACTAATAAAGATGAGTAGAAAATGGATAGAAGCCTAAGCAAGCCCCTTCAAACTTCCACTTTTATTTCTGTTGAGTAGGTAGGGGTAAATAGTATGTATTTGCTAATTAGCAGGAAGTCTTTTTGCTCAGGGATCCAAAGCATTTGGTGAAAACCACTAAGGTTAAAGATTTTTTACATAAGGAGCGTTTGCAATTTCTACTTCCCATGTCTAAATATGACAGCTCAAGTTGTGTGTTTCAGCTGCTGTCTTTGAGCCTTTGCAACTTACTTTGCACATTTGCAAAGCAAGAGGGTTGAACGAGAATCTCTAAGGTTGCTTCCAGCCTATGATAAAACCAGGAGGGTGGGGTGGGGAAGAGTCATAACAAATAAAAAGAAACAGTTTCCGAAGAGACATTCCCAATACAAGCGTAGGTTAATCCTTTAGAAATATTTGGTATGCAATCTTGAAAATAAAAATAGGGCAGCTGCTTTCAAGAACTGCATTAGAAGTGTGTATTGAAAACACTTCACAAGCTTAGCATAGCCAGAGAAAATGTTTTGTGAGCTCTTGGTGTTTCGTTACATTTAGATCGCCTTCAAAATCGTGTCATTGACAGATGCCCCCTTTGCTCTGTGGAGACCAAGAAGTAATGTTAAGGACATACGGGAACTACTTTAAGAAATTCTTTCTTAAAGAGTGGCCCTGGAGTTCACCTGCTGAGTTGTGAAGGCTCTTGTTAAAAGTACAGAAATGCACACTGAAGTTTGAGAACCATGGCTTTAGATTGGACACCTTTGTAAGCGTGGTTTTCACTCAGGACCCATAACATGACTGTTCTTCTCCTCTCCCTCCTTTACCCAGCATCCCTTGTCCTTTATGAGCCTTTTGGTTACATTTTTGTCACCCACCACTCTCATGCTTTAGCAAGGGAAAGAAACAGTCATTTGATTTGGAGTTAATGAAGGTGATCAGACATTCCGAAATGTTACCTAACTCCATACTCTAGTTACATGAGAGCCTTTTCTCACCCATCGCAGGTCCTTCTTCTGTTCCTCCTTAACGGGCCCGAAGTTTCTCTTAGATCCTTTCGAAGTGAATTCCCTGGGCCTCAGAGCTATTTTTTTCTCTTGGGGATGCAAAAGGTTTCATTGACCTGTTAATGATTTGTTAGCACCATTTAAACCTGACCCTGGCGGTAGCAGCGCCCTATGCAAATGAAGCAGCAGCTGGGAGCTTCCAGCTGGCACTGGGCCCTTCAGCCTGTTTGTCCTCCTCCAGACCTTTCCACCACCAGGATATGTTATTTCCTCCACCAGTTAGAGGGAGGCCAGGAATCAGGCCTCTCTACATTCTTCCTCACCTCACTCTCTTCCTCCTCCCAAGGCCTTGCTGGGACCTAGTGGCACTCAATACTGCTTGATTTAATCAGAGCCTCCTCTTTTCCACACTGCCTTTCCGTGTCTGGACTGTGGCTCTCTCAACCTTCCTCTCCACATGTCCTGCTGGACAGCCTCTCTCACCCACAAGGGGACCAAGCTGCAAATTCCAGACACCCCAGGGCATCCCTGTAACCAGTAGTCATCACGTGCCATTGAACAGCTAAGATCTTGCATAGGGAATTCTCACTTGGGCTTCTCATGGAAAAGCAATAAGTGAAAGAGAAACGGAACAGACACAGAAAAGAACTGACCTCTACCCTATATGCAGGCTGCACTATTATATTTAATTCATGGTATTTATGGTATTTCATGATTCTTTTATTAGATAATAATGCCCTTAGAGTCTTGAACCATTTAATTTCTCTGATGGAAATGCCTTCAGTTTTTCTGGACATAATGTTTACATTGCTCATAATAAAAAGACAGTTCTGATGATTTGGAAACGTAGAAAGCTGAAGGAATAAACCACCTCTAAATCTACCTCTGAGGGCTAAAGTCAGTGTCATTCCAGAGGTTTTTCATGCCTAAGACAAGTGTGTGCACACAAATACACATACACAAACATTTTAGAAAAATAGATTATAGACACTTTTCTAACCTGCTTTCTCACTCAGCAACTGACAGGGTGATATTTTCCATATCCCTAAGTAATTTATTTGCTGACATCATCACATTGAACAGTGCATAGGATTCATAGGATGTAGGCATTGCATTGTAAGAATTCACCATCATATACATAACCTCTTCCCTAGTATCGCATATTGAAGTTGTTTCTACCTTGTGTCAGTCATAAGTGATGCTGAAAATAACACTTTTCTACCTCCGTCTTTGTATGATTTTCCAGTTACTTCCCTAGAATACAACTTTTGCATTTAAGCTTGCGGATCATTGTATTTGCACATTTTAAAGACTTGTAAGTATCACCTTCAGAAAGAAAAATTATCCCTCGGAAAGTTTGGAACAATTTAATTTCAGTACATAGCCACTATTTGGTGATTCTGTTTGCCTAAGACCAGCAGGAGAATTGTGTTTGAAATGTCAGGCGAAGTTATCAAACAGCAAAGGGAAATGTTTTTCTACCTGGTTGCTTTACGCTTCAATCTTTGCAGCATTGGAGACTATATTATGCTTATGTTATAGGCAGCATTAATTTTTATGAATTAATAAGTAATTGCTGATAATATATGAGTAATGCAGCGTAGTTCTTGGTTTACCTGAGGATGGAGCTTGGCTAACATTCCGCATTTCTTTTGTTTTCTGGATGATGATTTATTTGGTTAATTGAGCTTCTCGTCCTCAAGTGAAATGTGGATTTTATAGCACAGATCATTCATTTGTATATTCTTAAATGGCTTCTATGGATTAACATGTTCTAAATACAGTTGATGGTAAAGCACTCATTCTACTGCCTAAATTATTCATGTTTGGGGGAGGCTTTCAGGCAAATGTCTGATTTTACTTTTCCACGTGAGTTGTTGTCTCAGTACATTTTACACAAAGGAAACAAAGCGGGAAATGTTGGAACTTGGTGAAAACAAATCCCAGGTGCACATGAATAAAGAAGGGTGGAGGGAAAGGAGAGGCATATGGGAAGAGGAGCAGAAAGGAGCTGATGCCAGATGGAAGGAGTCAATGGAAGAGGCTGCCTAGGGTGTAGAAATGGAAAAGTCAAAATGTGGGGAGAGACCTTTCCATTTCTCAAAGCAGAAAGAATTCCAGTACAAGCATGAGTCACTAGAAAACTGAGTGGTTTATATTAGTTACTGGGAGCAAAATTCTTTCTACCAGAAATATTAAGAATCATTGACTGCAACACTATAGAAAAGTAATCCATTCTGGTGTGTATTTCATGCCGAAAGTCTCCAGATTCTGCATGTGGAAATAAACGTATGGCTAAACACTGTCTTCCCTCAAAACTGTCATCAAAATGCCCCCATTAAATGGCTCTCAAAAGCAGAGAGCTTGATTTTTATTGAGGACTGCTATACGGTTCACAGTGGGTTTACATACTGTGGAGCTAACCAAGGCACTGTGCCTTTAATGGATTGTTGGAATCATTCATTACCATTCTAGATATTTTGACCTACTTTGTTCCTGTTGTTCTTCAGGTCTCATTTGGAAGCCAGTTCTGACCAGTGGAAGCGTCTGCACCTTTCTCTTCAGGAACTTCTGGTGTGGCTACAGCTGAAAGATGATGAGTTAAGCCGGCAGGCACCGATTGGAGGCGATTTTCCCGCAGTTCAGAAGCAGAATGATGTACACAGGGTAGGACATTTTTAAGACTAGTGCCTTGCACAGAGTAAGCATTCGGTGCCTCTTTTAAAACGAGTTTTGGTTGAAATTGAGTTGACCAGAAATCTTTTTCACTCTGCTGATCCAAGCGTCAATTATAAATAATCCAAGCCATTGTTATTTTAAAGGTCAAAAGCATCCCTATTAACAATATTCTTTAAGAAATTGCCCATCTCTCTCAGTGATTTTTAAAAACAGTTTCTTATGGAAAATAGTAAACGTATACCAAAGCAGACAGAATCCTCTAATAAACATCAAGACTTCAACAATTATCAGCTCATGCCCAATCTTACTTCTTCTAGACCTCTGCTGGTTCTCTATTTGAAATAAATATCAAGCATGGATCATTTAATCCATAAACAATTGAGAAAGTATCTCAAAAGATAAGGATCCACTCTTTAAATGTGACCACATTGCTACTATAATGCTTTTTAAGTGTCAATCATTTTATTCTAGTGAATATCCAGGCATTATTCAAATTTCCACTCTTAACATATACATGTCTTAAATGTCTTTTTGTTTAAATAAGACTTAAAATAAGGTTCACACATTGCATGTGGCTAATTTGTCTCTTAAACATATTTTTTCAAATTGTTATTTTGAAATAATTATAGATTCACAGTGAGTTACAAAAATAGTACAGTTTCCCTATACATTTCACCCAGTTTAATGGTTACATCTTACATAACTATGCAACAACAAATGTTGCCATTTCAACAGACAATATAAAAATGTACAGTTATAGTATAATTCAATTCACACTAGCTACATTTTAAGTACACAGTAGCCAGATGTGCCTAGGGGCTACCATATTGAACAGTATAGTTCAACTGGTTGGATCATATTCAGGCTTGACACTTTTGGTAAGACTGCTTCAGAGATGGTAGTGTATTCCACCATCGTCAGGAGGTATGTAATATCTTGTTTTCTCTTTTGTGTGTGTGATTGGGACTGCTGTCCATGATCAATGGCTAGGGGTTGCAATGTGATAATTGCCTATGTCTATAGTTTCTTCTTCATCTGTTAGCCAGAATAGTCTTACAAAAAAAAAAAAATTCACTCATCTACTCTTTGGGCACCCAGCACACAGTTCGTGTACAATAGGCAGGATACTCCCCCAGCCTTCAGAATAACATGTCAGTCACTAGCATCCTCCAACAGTGATTGATTGTTTCTCTCTGTTTTATTTTCTTTTGTTCTTTGTTATATTTCAGTTTTTTCTACTAGGCTCTAAGTGGGGAAGTCAGAGATTTGGTCTTGCTCACCTCCAAGATCGTAGTACCTAGCAAAGTGTCTGGCATAGACTGGATGTTGATAAGTGTTTTTGAAATGAGAATCAAAGGCACAAGAACAGAAATGAATAGCAAACCAAGTAAATGACTAAGAAAAAAAGCTTGATAAACTGGTGTCCCTTTTGTTATGTTCAACAATTAAACAAAGAGCTCTGTGGAGACACAGCCAAAGGTAGCATATTAAAGAAAAGTCAAGGGTTTCTATTATTCCAGGGAAGAGGATATGATATAGAAGATTGCTCAAAGGGAAGAGGACATGAGGGAAGATCCATGAGTCTCTGCACAAAAATTGCCAAGGAAACTGACAGTTTCTCCTTTACCAATTCCCCTTCATAAAATCCAGAACATTAAATTAGCTTTGTGGCAGAGTGGAATATAATAGTGACATTTTTTTAAATGTTCTAACTTTGAATAAATAGTCAAAACACGCCAGTGTATGTGTAGAAGAACATTCATTGAGACAGAAGGGCATTTTAAATAGGATGCATTTATATGATGTAAAGAAATGAGACAGAATTTCTACAAAAGATGTAATTTTAGTCTAATTCTAGAAACCAAAGATGAATCATTGGACAAGTGCACTAGCAGTCAGGAGGGACTCTAGTCACATTCCTCCAAAGCTAGATTGAGATTGTTACTTTGCTCTTCAGCTATAAGTTGAAGAATTTGACCCAAATTTCCACAGTGCCTACTAGCCAACGTCTTATTATAAATACGTCCTCAGTATCCCGGGTTATTGGCTTTGGTTACTTGCTAACAGTGGTAAAATGTTAGTGCTAATTCTCAATCCTCTTAGGTGGAAATCTCATGACCAGTAACATGCTTTGGGGACAGTGATGCTAGAGTAACATGCACCAGACTGAAGTGAACAACTAGTCCCCACTTGGCTAGTGTGCTTGTCCAGATACCCATCTGCTACCTTTCTTTCACTACTCAGACTTCCTGCCCATTGATAACTCTGTGTTCTGTACATGCGTTCCACTGCTCCCCTATCTTCACCTCCCTCCAAATCTACCTTAGATTCAATCATAAAACATGTTAATAATGCTTCCCAAAGACACTAAGAGCCTGTGCTTTATTATCTCTGTGGGTACAACCTGCAAAACCTCCAAACTTGGAGAATCTAACTTTCTCCTGTCCTTACAGCAACAGAGCAGACCAGTATAGTCACCTTTTCAGGATGACAAAACAAGCCTTCCCTTGACCAGCCCGATACATCACTGAGTCAGTTTACCTCCAAAATATTTTTTGGCTCTGTCTACTGCAGTCATCACCATAGTTACAAAAGACCCTATCTCCTAATGTTTCTGCATCTACTCTTGCGACCCTACAGTGCAGTCTTTACATTTCAGCGAGAGTGATTTGTGTAAAAACATACACTGAATTCTGTCCGTCCTCATCTTAACACTCTTTCTTCAATGGCCTCTCAGTGCCACTGGAGAAAGACCAAAATCCCCAACAAGGGCCCCAACCTTCTCTTTTCTTACTGCTCTTCCTCTTGCCGTCTGGACGCTAGCCATACCACGTTCTTTTGGTTTCTCCAGTTCTCCATGTTACTCTCAGGCGGTGCTTTGAACACGTTGGTCCTCTGTCTGAAGCGCCTCCTACCTACACCCACGCCTTCATAATTTCCTGGTTAACATCTAATAATCCTTTACATCTTGGCTCAGACATGGAGCAAGCTTTTCCCTCTTGCCCACATTTGACCAGATCTTCTTCTACATGTTCTCATACACAGTCTACTTTTCCTTCCGCAACTTAAGGTTCTTTGTCATCATGTGTATGTACAATTATTTGATTAATGTCAAGCACTGTCACTAAACCATGTGCTCCATGCAAAAGCCTTCTTTCGCGGTGAGGGTTGTCACTTTTATACCCAGCACTTTCCAAAGTTGCTCATACAGAGTAGATTCAAAATAGGTAAAGAAACAAAGGAATTAAGGAAAAAAGGAAGAAGGGAAGGAGAAAGGGGAAAAAGCAATCAGTGATCTAATCTTGACTTTATTCATCCTTCCTTAGTCTGCTGAGGCCAGGGTCAGGGAAAGAAAGTATGAGGAGTGATGTTCCTTCCTAACTGCAGGATTTTTCTGTTTATTCCCAACTCAACATCTATTTGTACTGTGTAGAGCTGCTTTGATGCCCAATGTTTTCACAAGCTTCTCTCTGTATCCTTAAGAAAAATTCTCGTCACAAAACACCCTCCTCCCTCAAAGAACATCATCACTCCTAAGTGTTGAGGAAAGAGCAATTTAGCACCCTGTTTACTCAGAGTTTTGTCACATTTATGCAGTAGCCCTTTTATAGTTGCAGTGGAATGCCGGTCTAGTTAGTAATGCTCCTGGTGCCTGTTGGCAAAAAGAACAAAGGAAAATCCTTGAGACTGGGTCTCTTTATCAGAGCTCCTGAACTTACTTGGAAAAGAGAAAGGAAATATAATCAGGAGAAAAATGTCAAGATCCAGTCTTTGGCAGATTTTGTATTTGTAGACTTGTTTTAGTTTGCCACGGTTCCAGGATTATAAATTGTCTTGCTCTTTACGGGTTTCTTGATTCAAATACTATTGATATAGAATGTTTAGTATCAAGATGGGTCACTTGCTATCATAAACTTGTTCCCCACGTATTTGGTGTGTCATTTTTTTTCCCAAATCCGCTGCTTACCATCTATTGTAAATTATTAATGCCTCGGGTTGTTGCTTTCTATGGGAATACAAATCCCATTACAGTGTCAGAAGTTGAAAGTATAGAAAAATATTTTTCACTTTTCTTTTCTATAAATCGGGATGTTTATAGAAGAGGCAATTTACATTTTCTCTGTGTATCACTGCAGATTAATGATAAAATTTGATAGCACAGTATCGTCTGTCTTGTATTCTTACAGCAAAAACATATAGTCGTTCTCAATCACTGTGATGGAGGGGTTCATGGTTTTCTTGTAGGGAAAATTCCAAGGCATTCCACACAGGTTGTGAGGGACTGCAGTCTTACCCCCCAAAGCAATTTTCACCCCCAGGGCAGTGGATCTCTGTTCCCCAAACCAGCTGGGCAGCATAACAAACTGTAACTGGAATGGCTCTCGAGCCTGATTAATAAAAAAAATGCTCCATATGCGGTGAGGTGTTATAAATAATTAAAGTTCAAATATGCCTTCGCAAATATAAACTGACCAATTTTTATATCTTTTGAATACATTATCCTGGCTTTTACAGTCCCTCATTACTTGCCTCGCTAGAGTGACTCGTTTTCAATTAGTGTGTATTATTCTGGTCCAGATATATTTTTAAAACTGACTTCCTTTGTTTTACTTGAGCGGTCACTAAAGTGATATTTATTACTTGTCTACATCCATGATTAACCTAGAGGGAGTTTTAAAGGAGCACATCAGAGTGGGAAATTTCTAAGGAGAACTGCAGTCAACCACCAGCTGCTTTGACTCCCTTCATCCTACCCCAAATCCAAACGGAGATTAAGTCTTGATTATAAGAACACTGTAGGTAATGACTTTTTGTTTGCATTTGTACTAATGAAGTTGTTTGTCATTAGGCTTTCATCTTTCAATTTAAGAATCTCTATAATTCCTTCCCTTGAGACCGTTAAGGACACCTTCAAGGCTTTCTGAGATTTTCTGGTTAAGATTTAGATGGAAGGAATCAATACATACATTATTAAAACAGTGGACAGA